CCCCCCCCCCTCTTGCTTTGTATATTTGCCAGTGTTATACATGCATGCACCTGAACCGAGGATTTCTTTTTAAACTGCTAAATTTCTCAGTTGTAAGTTCCATAAATATTACTACATTTTAGAGCTAAAAAGTTTTGCTTACTACTAAGTCATGCAATAAAAATTATACTAATTGGTTTGATATGATATACAAAATTCTAGAATTATCGTTTTCTTTGCAGATTCAGTCGGAGGAAAAAACTTAAAAAGTGTGTTAATTTTTATATTTATGGATGAGTGTGTCTCTGAGTCTAATTGACAAATTTAAATACATCTAATTATACCATTATTTCGCCATCTCTCTCTCTCTGTCTCTGAGAATGACCCTTTTTTCTATCCTTAGCGCCCACAAGTTCAGGCCCAAGAAGTGCCGCCTGGGATGCCAAAAAAGCTGTTGTGCTATTAAAACTGGTGTACTAATTCGATTTCTTTAAGACCTGAATTTTAATTTTTGTATTGTTGTAGTTGTGTTATTCCTTAATTGTTAAGCTCAATATGCTGATGATTTTTCCTTTCAATTTTGATTGGCTATTTTTCTGCTAAGACCTTTGTGCTTTTTCTGTAGTTGAAGTTGAAGCTACATATACCAAGACTATATTTTTAAATGAATTCGTCGGTTAAAAGTTGTATCATCTGTGTATTTTTACTGGTTCACTACATAGTTTTTTATTACCTACGAAAGTAGTTCCCAGCATAAATAAAGGTGAATTACTTTTGTACTCTTATTTTTAAGTGAGGTAATGAAAGGTTAGTGAGCAGAGAAGTATACCACGCAAATCGCAATCAAAGGATGACGTTATAAGGTAAATGACAATATGTTTGGTTGTGTATTTAGTCTTTTTTTGGTGAATGAAGACCAATTTAGTCTCCATTTCTAATAGCATATTTGTTACTGCAAAAATCACTTAATTGCACTTCATACACAAAACATTTTTAATCACAATGTGCCTAATTATACTATCTCCAAATTACCCGGTAATTGAGTATTGAGATTACTTTACGTAGTTATAACTACAACTTTATCGATGCATAACATATATGGTAAATGATGTACTTTTGTACAGGATCAAGTTCATATAATGACTTTTACTACTGCCGCACTATGCACTTCTAATATGTTTCATATGCTTGATTTCAACAGGTTTACAACAACATTCTAATTCATCAGTCAACAACTCAGAAGGTACACTATTTACTTCTCCTAGACATTACCACTCAACAACATATCACTACCATTTGGAGCTGTGTTAAAGAAATATGTCTCAAATGTATACCATTTGTTCTCATTTGTCTTTCTCCTGGAGTATTTTACTATTTTTTCTAACTTTGCGTCAACTAAAATATTCGATATACTGTATAATTTTCAGATTATAGTATTCTATAGTATTAGTTTAACAAAGGTATAAACTATTGTACGCAGGAATGTCTAGAAACATAGATACTCTGAATTTACATCAGAAGGCTAAAAGGAATGCGGAAGAACGAATTGCTGATAGAAATTTGCGCCGTCGTACTAGATATGCACAAATGTCACCCGAAAGAAAACAATTATTTTTGTCCCAACTACGAGATAAAAGAGCTGAATCGAAAAAACAAACACTCCTTCAACAGTCAAGTAATATAATAGTCTCATCTGTCGAAGTTGATAGCCAACCTCGAAAGCAAAGTGCTCTTACAATTTCCAATCCTTCATTACACCTCCAAGAAGGTTAGTAAACCGTATTTTTATCTTCCTTTTCTGAAATATTTCTGTATAAATTATAATATTTGTTTATACGAATAATATCTTGTGCAAATTCTCTAATTGTAGTGTCTATAGACTTTCTTATAATTTGGATTTGTTCTCATTTGTCTATTTCTTACAGTATTTTACCCTTCTTCTAACTTTGCGTTAACTTAAATATTTGACATAATGTGTGAATTTCAGATTATACTATTCTATAGTATTAATTTAACAAAAGCATAAACTATTCTAAGCAGGAACATCTGGAGACATAAATAATGTAAATTTACATCAGAAGACTAAAAGGAATGCGGAAGAACGAATTCCTGATAGAAATTTATGTCGTCGTACTAGATATGCACAAATGTCACCTGAGAGAAAACAATGGTTTTTGTCCCAACTACGAGACAAAAGAGCTGAATCGATAAAACAAAGACTCCTTCAACATTCAAGTACTACAGTCTCATCTCTGGAAGTTGATTGCAGACATCAAAAGGGAAGCGCTCTTACAATTACCAATCCTTCGTTACACCTTCAAGAAGGTTAGTAAATTGTATTGTTATCTTTCGTTTACGAAATATTTCTATATAAATTATGATAGTTGTTCATACAAATGATGTCTTGTGGGTATCTATAAGTAAACTTAGATGTTTAAATTAATCTACTAGCAGGAACATCTGGAAACATAAATAATGTCAATTTACCTCAAAAAGCTAAAAGGAATGCGGAAGAACGAATTGCTGATAGAAATTTGCGTCGTCATACTAGATATGAGCAAATGTCACCTGAGAGAAAACAATTATTTTTGTCCCAATTGCGAGATAAAAGAGCTGAATTGAAAAAACAAAGAGTCCTTCAACATTCAAGTAATACAGTCTCATCTCTGGAAGTTGATATCCGACCTCAAAAGCGAAGCGGTCTTACAATTACCAATCCTTTGTCGCACCTTCAAGAAGGTTAGTAAATTGTATTGATATCTTCCTTTTATGAAATATTTTTGTATAAATTATAATTTTTGTCATACATACATGTTTAAATTAATCTACTCTCATTGAAGTTATTTCGCATATAGGTCACGTTTCTGTAGCTACAAATACGTTACTTGCTTCGAACAAAGGAAAACGTATACTTGATTATTTCTCTATCTTTGAAATAGGTCAGTCCATAAATATTACTTTAAATATTCCAACAATATTACTTTTCTAATTATTTAATCATATGTAAACATTGGCTATTCCAACACCAGGATCAACATCAGGTACATATGATGATGATGCTGCAGAAAACACTTTTAACTTCCAAAGTTACTTCAAAGAGAGGTATGTATCTATCTACTAAAGTAATAATTTATATATTAATACTTCTATATGTGACATAATTGTTATTTACCATGTACAGGTAGAAAAAATTTAGAAGTCAATTTACAAAATGATAATCTAATGCCAAAAAGTTACATACATTTAACGAAAATTCCAAATTGTAAATTTTGTGGAGCAAAACGGTTTCAATATGAACCACCAACTTTCTGTTGTGATAATGGATCAATTAAATTGATCTCACATCAAATGCCTGAAGAGTTACGAAATTTGTTTTTAGGTGACACTGAAGAATCTAGACATTTTCGCACTTACAGTAGAACTTACAATAATATGTTTGCATTTGCTTCACTTGGAGTAAATTATGATAGAGAATTAGCAAAAAAAAACCGTGGCATCTATACATTTAGAGTTCAGAGACAAATGTACCACTTTATCGATGATTTGGTACCTTCAAGAGCAACAGGAAAAAATTTACAGTTATATTTCTACGACAATGAAAATGAGCTAACAAATCAAATGGCCTTATCGGATAAAATTAATGAAACAGTTATCTCAAGAGACTCATGGATATACTAAAGGTCAATCTTTATTCCGCTTTTCTGAGATCATTAAGAGATGTTCCAAATTTATCTGAATTTTACATTGCACTTAAATCAAATTCTAGCTTAGACCAACGAACATATAATTTACCAACTGCATCTGAAGTTGGTGCAATATGGATAGAAGACCAAACAAATGACAGAATTTCCACACCACATATTCGAATATACACTCACAACAATAGAAGCCAGTTGGTAAATTATTATTATGGATGTTATGATCCATTACAATACCCATTGTTATTCCCATATGGTCAAAATGGATGGCATTGTTGTATTAAAAAAATTAAAAAAAACATATAATTATTCAAATTACCAAGTATACTGTGAATGTGAACAACTGCCAAGTATATGGAACATGACTTCAATCGATGGGCTGCTTGATATGGAATCTGAAGTTTTATCCTTTACAATACCCATTGTTATTCCCATATGGTCAAAATGGATGGCATTGTGGTATTAAAAAAATTAAAAAAACATATAATTATTCAAATTACCAAGTATACTGTGAATGTGAACAACTGCCAAGTATAAGGAACATGACTTCAATCGATGGGCTGCTTGATATGGAATCTGAAGTTTTATCAAAAGGAAAAAAGAAAAGAGAAACGGTTTCTTGCCGTGAATATTATTGTTACAAAATTCAAATAAGAGGCAATGAATCGAATGAAACTTTACATTCTGGAAGGGTATTTCAACGGTAAATTGTTAACCAATATATAAAACTTGAGATACAAAGATTAGATTTTATTTTATTTAATCAAGATTTATTTAGAGTTGAAGTACTACAAGGGATTATTGATCTTTTAAGACAAGGAGAAAGAGATGCTTCAAATATTGGAAAAAAAACATTTCTTTCTGGTAGTTTTATAGGAGGTCCAAGAGACATGCGTCGAAGATATATGGATGTTATTGCATTGGTACAACGTTTTGGAAAGCCCGACATATTTTTAACAATGACTTGCAATCCTTCTTGGCCTGAAATACAAGAACATTTATTGCCAACAGATGAGATCCAAAATAGACCCGATTTAATAAGTAGAGTATTTAGAGCAAAAGTAGAAGAACTTAAAGCAGATATTCAGAAAAAGAATATTTTTGGAAAGGTTGCAACTTTTATGTATACTATCGTGTTTCAGAAACGCGGTCTTCCACATGCTCATTTCCTTATTATACTCAAAGATAGATACAAATTACTCACTCCACAAGCTTATGATAAAATTGTTCGTGCTGAATTACCTGATCGCAACACAGACCCTGATCTATATAAACTTGTAATTAAACACATGATTCATGGACCTTGTGGCTATTTAAATCCTACAAATTCTTGCATGGAAAAGAAGGGAAAATGTAAGTTTAAATATCCAAAAGAAATTGTTGAACAAACAACAAAGGGAAAAAAACTCATATCCACTTTACCGAAGACGAAAAATAACACCAGTCGAAGTCGAAGTTAAAGGACGCAAAATTGATAATTCTTGGGTTGTTCCATACAATCCATATTTACTCTGTAAGTTCAATTGTCATATCAATGTTGAAATATGTTCTGATATAAAAGTTGTCAAATATATTTACAAATATATTTGTAAAGGACATGACAAAATTGCTTTTTCTGTGCATGGTAATGATACAAATATAGAAATAAATGAAATTAAAGAATACCAATCTGCAAGATGGGTTTCCCCACCCGAGGCCGCATGGCGTTTGTTTAGATTTTCCATAAGTGAAATGGCTCCAACTGTTTGCCACCTTCAGCTACATTTTGAAGGACAAGAATTTATGTCTTTCAAAAGTAACCAAAGTGACAACAATTTATGTCTTTCAAAAGTAACCAAAGTGTGAATCAAATAATAAACAATCCAATGGTTAACAAAACAATGTTAACTGAATTTTTTACAATGAACAGGACTAACAAAGATGCTATAAATCTCAATTTACTGTATAAAGAGTTTCCTGAATATTTTGTGTGGTCATCAACTGACAAAATGTGGTCACATCGAAAACAACGTCCAGCTATTGGACGTATTGTAACATGTCATCTGACAGAAGGAGAAAGATATTATCTTAGATTACTTCTAATGAACGTAAGAGGACCCAAATCATATGAAGATCTTAAAGTGAATGGGAAATGTTGCAGTACATTTAGAGAAGCTGCGGAAAAAAGGGGCTTATTACATTCTGATAACAGTTTAATTGAGTGTATGTCACTCAGAAGAGTTTAATCAGAGGAAGATTTACCCTTAAAAACTCAAAATAAAAATACAATCTTTGGTTAATCAAAGCCTTAGCCATCATAAACCAAGAATGTATGAAGAAATTGAACTAAATAAACTCAATGTGAAAAAAACTTACAGATTCCCAAGCTGGATAAGAGGATTTGAGGGAAGCAAAAGGCCTTTGAGAGTTAGCTTCAGTGGTGTTCTGCGACAAAATGACGCTTATTAGACCGTCCAGTACACTCTCTTCATAAGACTCAGTATTCCAAACATGTAATTAAAAGATTCCGGACATGCATGTAAAAATCTAGCAAGAAATTGTTAAAAAGAAGGGAAAAATTATATCCAATGGAAGATTAATAGCAAGCAAAATCAGGAGACCAAAAAAAAAGGCATCAGGATCCTTTCTTTAAGGAAATGACAAACTTGCAATGGAGAAATGATCAGAAAAATCAAATACAAACAAAACTGAAGTAGAGAAAACCGTGACAAATCAAATCCAAAAAATCGAATTGGATAGATGAAAAATTAGAGAGGAAAGGGGATACCCCCCCCCCCCCCNAAGTGATCAGAAAAATCAAATGCAAACAAAACTGAAGTAGAGAAACCCGTGATAAGTCAAATCCAAAAAATCGAATTGGATAGATGAAAAATTGGAGAGGAAAGAGGAAAAATCCCCCCAACAATAAGAACACATACATCTATAAATAAAAGAGCTTGAGAGGCTAGATTAGACTGCCATGGAAGGCCTGGTCTTCAGGTGAAGTGTAAGAGAAAAAAGTAAAAGAGAAAATAAAAGAATAGGTGATTCAGTAAGTGGTATGGTTTGGAGAAGAATTAATTGCAGAGGAATTGTGTCCTAATTCCACTTTTGAAGACTACTAACAAAAGATATACAAATTACTAACCTGCATGTAAAAGATTCAACAGAAAAATTCCAAAATATGAAAACCAAATCAGATCTATCAAAAATCATATCACCAAAAAATGAGTGCAAGAAAGAAAGAAGGAGAATGAAGTAAAATCTAACAGAAATTTACAAGTGCAATAGATAACGCCATAAGCAACCAGCTACTCATGAATCAAACAATTTCACAATTTCAAAGATTAAAGAACAGAAAAAAGTAGAAGAGAGTTGAGATACTCACAGACAAAGATGGTCTTCTATGCAGTGAATGAGACACAAATACTGCTATTGATTATAGTTATTAAATAAATGTAAGTGTAGTACACATGATTTGCTAAACGTAATTGGCCCACGTGTCCCTCTTAGAAGACATGCAGAATTATCTATTTACATTTACGCTATTTGAAATCCCAAATGTAAGTCTGACCTAAAGTTGCTGTTTCTAAATAGTAGAAAAGATATTTGAAATCCCAAACGTACGTCCGAACTGTGTTCGTAAAGTCCGAACAACGTTTGTACACCTAAAGTGCCGTTTCTAAATAGTAGTAATATATATATATATATATATATATATATATTTAAAAATAAAATTTTAGTAAGTTCACTTCTCAGAGAAATTTTTCTTCTCAACTTGAAACACATATATGCATATACAAATAACACTAAAGAATTCACGGTTCCTTGCCGCTTCGACAAATGAAATGTGATATGGCATCATTCAAGCATTAAATTACCTTGTTCTAAAAATTCTTTTTTCTAACTATAAAGAAGATCTTAGGCACATGACAAGCGTGCACATTTTGTAATCTAGTCAGTCACTTGTAAAAAAGAATCCTACTCCGCCTTTTTGCTCAACACTCTTACATCTTTCAACTTCGTTTATAACGTCTCTCAACACCTACTCCATCGTTTTCATTCTTGTTCGCCATTTGAGAATGATATTTTCAAGTTAAATTTTGTCAAGATTCTGCTTTGTTCTTTCTCAAGCTATGGATCCTTCACTCAGCTCTGTGTCCATCCTTTATGGGAGTAAGGTTTGTTTGCTGCAACCCTTTTTTCAGCCCATTTAATTCTGTTTGAGGGAAGAGAATTAGTTCGTAAAGACAAGTGTTTGGTAATAAGGATGAGTTCTGTCATTTGGTGCAATTTATAACCTCATCGTGCTCTGTTCCCAATATTTTTGTACCATTAATTGCACTGATTAATGAGAATTGCAACTTGCTGTCCGAATTCTTTATAAATGTGGAGAATTTATGAGTATCAGTCCAATTTAGCAGTCTTGCTTTTGATGATGTCCATCTCATTGAAGAAGTATTAGGCATGTGCCTAATAAGAGTTTTCTTTGG